ACAGATGATTCAGCACTTGGTGCCTACATTTCTGCCGGCTGGTTTTCATCAGCAACCAGACTACAGCTTTGAAGGTATATCATTTATATGATACCATCAGACACCTCAAGAGGCACACAGGTGTCAAGTCCCTCTGGCTCCAAACCGGTACTGGTTTTAGGCAATGCAACCTGCTCCTAAATTCTCCTCTTGGCTACCTAGCTTTATAATCCCCACAAAAATCCTGACTGTAAGAGTCAGCTGCTTTTTTCTCCAGGTCTTTCAGAAAGAGATCATGCACAGAAAAGGGTCAAAAACAAGATCTTGGGTCACAGAGAGAGGAAGACTGGTAACAGGTCCCGGGCAAAGGGAAGACGATCTCCACATTTCATGCTCAGGAGAGGAGAGCAGGAATTTAGTCTCACCAAAACCAGTCATGCACAAAACACTGTTGGATGCAGACCCTCCCCACCCCCAACAATCCCTTCCGATTTACTCATGGCCACTAATCTCATTAGAGTTCCTATAATTAAAGCACCATAATATCTGCTTGAGAATATAGTATGCTGTTTAAATTAACTCACCCGAAGTCTTTTCATGTAAGAATGACTGCTCCAAGAGTATTACAAGATTTACAAAATAAAGCACCACTAATGAGCATGGGATCAAAACTGGATTATCAAGTTTCCTAATTTGCATGTAGAAAAAAGTAGGCAGTCAAATCACCAAGGTTTCTATAAAATTTTTAAAGCCACTTTATAGGAAAAGTGAAACAAGTATAGATGCAATTATATATATAGCTTCAAATATTTATTAGACAACATTGTACTTTATAGATGTTAGGAAACAACAAATGTTATTTTGGTCTAGTCAATACTTGCTAAAAAGTGAAGAGTAAGATTGTTGCTCTGAATAGTACTTGTCAGGTTTACAGATTAGGAAGATGAGAAAACATATATAAACCTTAGCCTCTCTACCAGTCCGGGATAAGTTAAATATAAAAACCTAGTTAAACTTTAGGTCTTCTCCCTCTCTTCTTAAATCAGAACTCTTCCCATACCTATTGTTTGTGGTTTTGTTTTTTTTTTTCTTAAAAAAAATCAGAACAAACCCCACACCCACCTCAGACACATAAATGGACAAAAAGCAAAACCAGGCGCAAATACTCCCTCTGACTCAGATGTAGGAGCAGCCGGCAGAGGTTAGGAAGTGAATCACTCATTTAGCAAACCTATGCGTGCACACAATTTCTGGAATAACTCGGGTTTGGTGCCATGTTAAATGCAGAGGAAGATGGGAAGTGAAGGAGATGTGAATGCAGTATTACACCTGTGAGACTTAGTGCCCTGGTTCTTCCCCGTCCACAGTTTGTATGCTGGATGCACGAGGGTAGAAGCCCACAGCTCCCAGCCGAAGGGGCAACAGTTCTTCCACCCTTCCGACCCTGAGCCGACGCAGCACATACCTGCAAGCCCATGGAGATGGCCTCCATGAACACCACGGTCCTGGAAGAGCACTGACACTTCAAACATTCACACTCATCTATTTTACGTTTGCGATTAAGCATAACAATAAAGAACAGCTTTGGGCTGCACTGATTCCTGGAGACAGGGCTTGGTGGGACCTGATCCAGGCTCTGAGACCCACACCAAGTCCTGAGGTGCAAAAGCCGCAACCTCTTTCATGCTAACCCATCACTCCTCCCTCAATTTCTCTGGGTCCAAGAGAATGAAGTCATAGAATTTTTTTTGTGAATAGTAGATAAATTGGTCATAGTCAGATCTTGAAAAACCCTGAGGGGTCTGTGAGTATTAGGCCGAGAGAAAGAATACTAAATTGAGGCAAAGTTACGCAATTTACCAAAAGTCAGGCTCCCTATCGCCTGGGCCCTCCAGGCTTGCCTGCTAAGCTTCTGCTCCAGCCATTAAATCTTTGAAAGGAATTATGCAGCAAGGTGCCAGTGATAAGAAAGACTGGATCTGACCTCTGAGGACCTTCAGATGTGACATTCCTGAATCACTTACCCTCATTTTCCAGCACCCCTGTAACACTACAAGTTAACTCTGCTGCTGGAGTATTTTCATACAGATAATCTTCTTTTCAACAATGTGTAAAACTTCAGTTGATTTTCTGATCTATAAAGGGCTCCAAGGCAGAAGTTTTGATGCTGTAACATGTTTGCATAGAAGAGGGTAGAGTGCATTAACAGGGTTTTTACTTTGATACTCCATTAAGCATCATTTCAGAAATCATCATGAAACCATCATCAAGAATCCAGCTTTCTTCAGTGGGAAAACACACATAGACATTAAAGGCAACATGAATTATTTTAAGCGTTATATTTCTGCCAACATTTTCAGAATGAAAGACCACTCCTCCAGAGACTTGGAGTCAGCCAGTGTCCTCTCAAACAAAGGGCACAGATTGCTACTTCTCTGCCAAGGAAACCAGATCTAAACAATGCATATTGCTGTTTGGGGTTTTGTTTTTCAGTTGTTTCTGTTTGTTTTCAACTTCAGGTACATTCCTAAATCAAGCTGGCCCTATCCAAACTAAAAGTCTGTTAAAATTTTCAAATAGAAACAGCTTTTCAACATGTACTCCTTTTGAACTTTTGGTCCATTTTCTTTTTTTCCTCTGCTACACTAAGTGCTAAGTCTCAAAGATGAAAGGTGACTTTATTTCTATCCTGTACTGCCTTGCCACTCATCATTCCCAGAAACTCCTCTAATTTAACTGACACAGAGAAGCCTTTTCTGTCTCCTCACGATGAGTCACAGGGTCCTTCCACAGCAGAAGGGAAAGATACATCACTTGTTCTTCTCAAAGAAATATCACTTTCTTGTTCTTTTCAAAAAACAAAGACAGGGGAAGAACACATTGGAAATACTCTGTTATTCGAGGGTATTTTGTTTCCTTTTTCCCTGAACAAATTTATCAAGCAACTAAAATTCTGCCTGGTCATAACAGCATCTGTAACATCTGTAACAGCATCTGCCCACAGAAGTGTTCTGTGAATCTCCATCCTCAAGATCAGCATCCCTGCTGCAGATACCCCCTCCTCTGCATCTGTATCCCTTCCCCACCTTTCAAATAGAAGAGTAAGTACCCATATGGCTATCTGCCAAGCAGACCTTTTAATAGCTGCTGGGATAAGCTTTGCAGAGTGCTCAGCAACGGTAGTGGCTTCCTTGAAGAGGGCATCCCTGCATACGCATCCAACAGCTAGGCATTGCTAAACACACTTCATGGGGCAAATACCCTGTTTCCAGGCAAGTCAGCTGTTTCAGCCACCAAGCTGCTGGATCATCCTCCCAGAGTCCAGCCTACACCAGGCAGAAGAGTTCTTCAGCATGGCTTTAGCTACTGGATGATATAACTTCCATTAGATCACTGTAAGCTGTAGGCACCTGCAGAAGCTAGAGAAGACTACCCTGACATCACACCACTTTGCAATTTTCAGCTTTGAAGCAAGACAGTATTCTCACACATAACCTCAGTGGCAAATACAAAGGTGGCACAAACCTGCATTGGCAATATCCTCTAAAAGCTTACTGAGAGTATCCATTCCACCACTTAACTACAAACCAAACCATTCTGGGCTCTGTACATGACATCTCTTATCAAGTATTACTGAGTTTCAGTGTTAGAGGAGATATACAAAACACAACTCCGCTTCTCCCATCCACCAGCTTCCATATTAAGCCCTTTCCTGTTACCTAAACGAAGGCAGGCCATAAAAACACTAGCGAGTTTACTATTAGCCAGAACAAACACTACCAGCACTAGTAACAGCTACATAGGCTACCACTGCCCAGAGAGGAGCACATGCTTCTCTTCAGTCAGCACATGCAATTTCCATCAACAGTGACATGTTCCCTGGTCAGAGCAGCCCGACAACTATTTATAGTCCGTGAGGGCGGCTGTAGCCACCCATCCATCCCATCCCTACGCACGCAGCCCAGCGGGCACACAGACCGCCACAGCACAGCTCCCAGCCCCAACAGGTGTAAAAATTCATCTTTCCACCACGCCAGCACATCTCCACCGAGCACATCCCAAAAGTTTCTGTTGACTAAAAACATAAAGGTGGTAAGCAAACGGTTTATTTGGTTTTGTTTTACCCATACTTCTCCCATCGATCTTTGGGTTTAGGGCATGCCTACACTAGCAGCAGACACAATGCACAAGTGTTTTGTGATGCTAAACTAGCTACTAAAAATACTAGCGAAGACAAAACTCTGCTTTCAAGCTATTGATTTCGGTTTGAAACAGCAGTTCTGACTGACAACACAATGATGAAGACATAAGCAGCCTATACACGAGTAGCCGTCTACCCAGGAGGCGCAGCTTATCTGCCCAGCACAGAAAAATTGTGTTCTGGGGTTTTCTCCCCGCAAAGAAGTTCCTGTTGTAACTGCGATTCTTCAAAGACACGCACCCCCCACCCCTATTTTAATCTTTACATAATTGGCAACATACTGAACACAATGTATTCTCAGAACAGGACGAGGGGTGAAAGGACCTGCAGGACAGCGGCCAAAATCCCCAGCCCCAAACTCCAGGAGTCCTCTCGGAGGCGGCTGCTAACGCTCCCAAACTCTGTTCCTTGCCATTCTTTGCACCCCTCTTTAAGGGAAACTGGTGCCGGCCACGTAACAGCGAGAGTCTGAGAATTCAAACAGAAAATCCTTAAAGGATGGGAAGAGCCCGAGAACATAAAAGCGACCAACCCGACAGGCTGCGTAACAACGCGCAAACAAACACTTCGGGAACAAATGGTCATTAAATCAGCAGCTCCGAGGCAGGCGGCTGCCAAACGCGTTCCGTACGGGATGGGAAAGGTTCCGACTCCACCCCACCCCACCGAGAGCCAC